GTTAAGTTGCTTCATTTTTTGTGCTAATAATTTCTCTTTAATTCTGTAAACAGACATAATATTTTGTTGGTTAAGTTACATTGTTGAAGTCCTGTAATTGCTGTTTCGAGAATTCCGACTAACTTGTCAATTCGAAATTTTCTCGTTTTCAGTAACTTCTCTGTCACTTTCTTCACTAACGGTAGCGGTATTTTCTGGATCTAGAACCATACTACAGATTTCACCATTCGTTGATTGATTGATGATTAAGAAGCATTGTCATCACAATGAAAAACTTCTTCTATATCATCTTCATTCATTACCACTTCTCCACATTTCTTTAAAAAATTTGTTAATTGGAAAATTTCACTTTTGTTTTGCGATATCCGAAAACCTTTAAAATTAGCGGCTATCATCATCGAATTTGGTTATCCTTCACTATACATATTTGGCTATGCATCATGAGCTTAGCGACTGATGACAAGTTGTTCCATTAAATTTTATCTTGCTTCTATCGCACACTCAGACGATTAAGGCCTGAATTGTATTAGTTCATTATTTATTTTTATACATATGTCTATTTCTTGCACGTGCTTAAGGCTTATCAGAGTTCTGAATAAATAAATTCCCACGTATATTTCAGCCTAGATATCTTACTGCCTGATGCAGTCTCTGTCTGTCCTAAATTCTGTGACTCACTGCGGCCATACGAGCCCTGGTGCTGGTTCTGGGTTTATGTGAATAACAAATCTGTTATTCTTAATTCAAATAGCCCTGAATGTAATCTTTGGGTCTATGAGTATCATCAAAAAAATCTATATCTAGCAAATGGAAAGAAATTTTGGTAAAATTTTTCTTGTCAACATATTTTAATGCATTTAACTTATGTCTGTAATCATTGCTAAGCATAATGTCAACATAAAAGGTTACCATACTTCTTTATTATTCAATTACCAACATAAAAAATTGTTTAGGCATCGCTACATGAATCATTACTCAAGATTTCATGTTTTTATGAACATGCAGCGATGAAAGGAAAGTATAATAAATAATGTTTCACCAGGTTGGTGTCTGATCAACGATGTATCTAAGTGGAATATTTCGGTTTGAGGTGTGTGCCAAGCAAATACGCAGCAACAGAGCCAAATTAGTGATCGTAGAAATTTATGCTAAAATGATTGGTTCTTCATAACAAGGGATTTTATTTAGTGTCAAAGTAAAATTAAGAATTGGGACTCTCTAGATGTTTTATTATGCATGGAGCGGGGGGAATCAAATGCACATGCATAAAACCTACGAGAAAAAAACGTTGTTGGTGGTTTTGAGATCCGGATTTTAGATCACTTCCGTTTAACTGCCGAATGGCTGCAGGTATAGTCATGAAAGTGGTGTCTAGGTATAGTAAAGTGGGTATGCGTTACTAGATGAGATAGCTTTCAGAACCACTTGGTGGAAAACAATGAAGTTAGCGTCTTTATCTCAAAAGTGATACGAGATAGGAAGAAAAAGTTATTTACAATGTTGTAGAGCATCGTCAATATAGTATAAAAAGACACATTGTGGACATGAATGTTAAGAACCGAATGTTTTAAATCAGCATTTCTTTAATTAAGACACAATAACATGCCGAATAAATACTAATTCAGAAGTCAAACAACAAAAATCAGCGTTATATTTACAAAATTTTCACAGGACTAGTTTCGATGGTTTTACCGAACCACCATCCTCAGCTGCAAAACCGCAAATGGATTTCGGTCATACACAGGGCTCGCATTAGGCATTTTCCCACCTGATGCTACCTCTATGGATCTTAAGTTCTGCTGCCTAGTGCCTTCCTAAATTCTGCTCTCAATGTGTGTACTAAATTCTAAAAGTTTTGTCATCTCTATATTTTTGTTGCTTGGTGTGTCACTAAATTCTAACTATTCTGCCACACTGACTGTGTAACCAGCCCATAACATATATAATTTCATATTTTTCTGAATGTTCATATTACTAAAGAAATAAAATAAAAAGCTTTTTCTATACATTCTAAATACATTTAGTTTTTTAGAAAAACAGAAATCTTTAATTAAATCCGAAAATTCTAAAATGAGGAGGAAACGTATTGAAAAAAGTAATTCGTACATAAAAGAGAAAGAAAATTATTCTTCAAAGATATGTGCAATTATTATTATTTAAATTAACCAGTTGTTTATAATTTCATCCTTTATTATAACTTCCCCTTTCCTTTTCCCCACCAGAATGCAAATCATTTAGATAGCTTTTTAAAGAGGTTTTGGGATTGTAAGACAGGGTTTCTGACCTCCACTTGCATGCTACATTAGTTCCTGCCAGCTGTGATAATTTGTAATTATTCATCTTTGCATTATCACTGTTGACATTTGAATTTGTTACAATGGTAGAGTTACTGAGTCAACTTAGATTAAAATTAAATTGTATAAGTCTTTAACTATTAGTTAACATTTTTAGTTTGAATTTGACTGTTTCTGTTTAAACATTAAAATGTTTCTGTTTAAACATTAAAATGTTCCTGTTTAATTAGTTACTTTCAGACATGATGATAATTTGCTTTATATCTGTCGGGTGTTTTGGACTGTTTAACTTTTACCAGATCAAGGAAAACCTGGGAACACTGGTTTGCGTATTGAAATAAATTTCTAATTGTTAGAAAAGATGCTTAGAGAGAAGGAAGTTAATATAAATTAGCCAAAATATCTAGGAAGACTTCAAATAAAAAAGACTCATAAATATTTTGTTGAGCAATAAAGCCAGAGCGGAGGCTTTATTTCCTTCCAAGAAATCCAAGAAAGGAGTCATCTGTTAACTTTATTCAGAATAATAAAGGGTATTTAATCCTTCTCACAATTTTTTCTCTGTCTCATGAACTCAAGCGATCATTTGCTTATCAGTGTTGGAAAAAAGGCAAAAAGGGGGAAAAAAGAAGATTGGCAAGGAAAATTCTCAGTGTTACCTAGGGAGATTATTTGGAAGAGAAGCTATAGTAAAAATTAAATTAATTAGAAGATTTATTAGCTGGATTATTTAAGTGAAAAATCATTAACCCTGCTTCTCCCCTCTTTCCCAAAAAAGTAAAAAGGATAAACTAAAGGAATTATTTGAATTGATATAAAAATTTAACATTTCTATCAGTCCTTTTATTGGTGATAAATCAAGAAAAAATGTTTAAATGCAAGATATCTAATATTTTTAATCCCTTGCCAACCTGTATACGTAGGTAAGGGAGGTAATGTTCTCAGTCTAAAAACTTCATATTGATTTTTCTGTGAATGAACACAAATATGATTCCCTTAACATGTTTTACTGTTTTTAGAATGATATTTGTCTGTCTGTATATATATGTGTGTGTGAAGATTTTTTTGTCCATGATAACTCTTTCGGTTTTGGGTAAATTTGAACAGTTAAGAAGTGATATTTTACTTGAACCTCATAATAGTTTGTACTAAAAAACTGTATTCAAAACTTTTCAGTTTTAATATTTAAGATATTTATATCAGTGAAAATAACAGATTAGATTTTATCTTAACCCCCTTAAGTGGCATAACTGCCTTTATCCAGTCATGAGATTTTTATCTCTCTATAATTTAAAATATTTTGCTTTCTTACTTTCTATAATGATGTGAATATCATTTTCATGAATGACAGTTTATGAAAACAAAGACTAAAATAAGTAATTATAAAAATAATCTGTTAAATACTGTTTAATAAAGGTCTTGAACAGATCCCAGAACCTGTGCAACTCAGAGGGCTAAACTTATGAACTGGAAATGACATTTAAAGCTCTGAACAGATTTTGAAAAGAGGGAAAATATATTATGAAATAATCCAGAACTTCTCACATTTGTTATTTAAAATTTGTATGTGAATGAGAATAACATATTACATTCATATATATTAAATATATTCTTGGAATAATGCCAAATGCAACAAGAATAAACTCATTATGAAGATGAACTCTCTTGTTAAGTGGCAATTAAATGTATTATCCTTAGTCCTCAACTTTGTGTCTGCTTCACTCTTTTGTTGAATCTTTTTTCAAGTAAAAGGATGCTACTACCAAATGTTATCAATGTGTTATTATTTTCAGTCCTACAAGGGTTGTGAATATAAAAGTCTGTATAGAAAGATGACTTTCCAATTCAGTACATACAAAAATTTTTGCCTACTCTTCATCTGTTTTATTTTGAGTTTCATGTATATTGGAAGAAAAGGTTAATGCACAAAGTGAGAGAATTATTATACCAAGAATTATAACCAAGAAAATATCACTTATTTATGGCATTTCAGGGAACTTATGAAATTTCAGGGACAATCATATAATGCTTGGAGGGTCAAAGAAATAATATAGAAAATACAAAAAGTGTATAGCAGCACTTAACACTCTATTAGGAATTCTAAAAATATGCTGCTTTAAGAAAAATATTTTTAGTGTAAATCTTTTGTGCCATAAGTGTGAAGAAAGTGATATTTAATAAAGCTAAGAGAAATAATAAGAAGTTGTCATCTTATTAAAAAACTGAGAAAAAACTGGAAAAAATTGTATGGGGAAACAACATGAAACACTGTATTGGAAACTAAAGATATGCTGCTGTAAAAAATTTTGTGATTGTTAAGTCTTTGATTTATGAATCCAAAACACTATGTGACTAGAGGATCTACAATGATTGATGTGGTGTTTTTTGAGAACATATGTGTATATCTGTCACATCTGCACATTTAGTTATAATTTTCCATTGTATGGGAGAATAGAATCATAAAAAAATGTGCAGTGTTATAATTAACATTGAGCAATAAAGTTTGTAAATATGCTAACTTTTATTTACAAATGATCAGCCAATTCCATGTTTTAAATAGCAACAGCATTAAGTATATCACTTGATACTTTATTTAGAGCACACTGTTATTTAAAACATGAAATTGGTTGGAGGTCAATGTGCTGGCTACATTAAATTTTTTAATTTGGTAAACGTAAAATTTTGAACTGAAATTTTTATTTTCAGTCGTGTTTGTCATGTCATCAGCAAATTCATCGAAATGCACCCATCTGTCCATTATGCAAAGCCAAGAGCAGATCTCGGAACCCTAAGAAACCAAAAAGGAAGTTGGATGATTAAATAGGTATATTTATAGTTTGGGTTTTAGCTACTAGGAAATTTTAGTTACTGTGAAAGAGAAATAACTTTCATATTATGTAATTTAATATTTTTATGATGTCATCATCAAAGTACCAATCATAAACCAATTCTGTAAAATTTCATTAATTTATATTTATGTAAACACATCTAGAAATATCTGCTTTATTAAGGATGATTATCTTTGCTTTTAAGTTATGTTTTATTTAATGTCATTAAAAATTATTAATTGTATATGTTTTATATTTTTGTAATTAAGAATCTGAATTTCAGAAAATAAATGTCATTGAATTTGTTAGGTGTTTCTAAATATGTTAAATGGAAAAATTACCTAAAATAACTTCTTGCATCGTATGTATTACAAAATTCTGAAACATTTTTATTTGCCAGTTATTCAACATTTTTATGTTTTAAATGAATATGCTACAAAAATATTATTTAAAAAAAGTCTTTGATGCCTTGATGTAGGATTGATACTCTTGATGTGAGACATTTTGGGTCAGACCAGTGAACACAGTTATTAAATTAGATTTGAACTATACATAAAAATCTTGAATTATACTTGAAATGTCATATTTGAAATTTTCATTTTCTGTAGACGGAGTTTTAAAATAACGTAGTGGTCTTAATTCTCAGCTGTAGTTTTTCTTAATGTCATGTTTGTGTTGTACGTAGAAAATTCAGTACAATCTGTGTTATAGGAGATTTCATTTCTAAACATAATTTACTTTTTCTTTCATACTTTTCAACATATTTGTGAACTAATGTAGCTTCACATATTTCTAAACATTGTAAAATGCTATAAGCATTAAAACCTACATGTTAAATTTAGATACCATAATTTTAAGTAGATAAGTCACCCTGCCATATATGACACACACATGGTAATTGACTAAAAAAAATTGAAAGTTCATCGGATGAACTGCACCACCATATATGCCACAACAAAACGTTCTGAAACACGGCACTTAATATTCATTTATTCTGTAATTCCCTGCCATATTGATGTAATCATCATCCATAACATTTTATAACATTTACAACATAAACATAATCAATAATATATAAATAAATAAGGAACAAACATCTTACCTTGAACTTGCCGAAAATGAACTCTGATGATTTCTAATACACATTTGGTAAACTTTGTGTGTCACCATAAATTACTGTATTATGAAAAAATAATGTATACATTAGGTAATAGAACAGAATTTTATAATTGAACTACATTTATTTATACAAAACCTTCAAAATCAGACTCGTCAGTGTCAGAATTAGATAAATTTAACACATAACCATCAAGGTCAATTACATCATTCTGTTCTAAATAATTTTTTCAACATCACTAGCTTAACCTGTCATTTTCTTTTTTGATTTTTTCTGATTAATGAAAGCTCATATGAATGTATCAGTTCGGACTGATTGCCATGCTTTATCGACTCATAAGGCAGCCTCCTCATACAAAGCTTTTCTCATTCATCCAGAATTTGAGAGGGAATGGAGTCCGCTTTGCATCCATCCCTCCCACTTCTTTCATAGTTTGTGCTTAAAAATTCTATTGATGGTGAAATCCAGCGGCTGTAAATTTTTTGTAAGTCCACCTGATATGGGAGACATCAGTCCTAGTTTTTTTTTTTTTTTTTTTTTTTCTTCATATTTTTACCGTATCCTTTAAATGGGATCGCATTGAATCCAGAACGATGAGTCCTTGGGACTGGAAAAAAGCACCTTTCCTTTTTCGATAAATTTCTCTCAACCAAAACATTACTTCTTCGCATTCTTTTTTATTGGCACAAATAAATAACTTCTTTAGAGAAGTTTTTTTTTTTTTTTTTTTTTTAAATTATCAAAGGGGTTAACTTCTCTCCATTGTTTGCACAACCCAAAACACAAGTTAAAGAAGTCTTGTTTATTCCCAGTTGTTAACACAGAAATTGTTTCTTCACTTGTTGAGTGAACAGTTCTGCTTTGATAACAGTTGAAAGTAATGGGCACTTCATCCATATTAATTATTTGCCCTCTATTCAAATTTCGATCTTTGTTCTTCTAAGATGTGTACTCCAAACAAGCTATCTTTTTTTCAAGCCAGTATACAAGAAGCTTTTGTGTAACTGTTATTTTGGTCCTGATGAATAATTTCTTTGCTTCATGAATCTGAAGCACCAATTAGGTTCTCCAATAAAAATTTTAATACCCATTTGTTGAGCACTTACTTTTGCTTGAAGGCACATTTTAACTGTTGACCGTGATAATCTACTTTCTGTCTGCTCTGTTATCCATTTCTCTAAATTGTCTTCCAAAATAAGCTAGGCTATGACAGTTCAATGAGATATTTTATTCTTAGGTATTTTCTCTAATTCTTGTTTGGATTTCACCGCCAAATGCATCACTTGTCAACTTGAAATTCTTTAGCAGCAATGCATTCCAAATTCCACCAGTTTTTTTCACTGCCAGAAGCTTAAAAGCAGCTGTATAACCTTTTCCACAAGCAATAATGATAATAGTAATTTTAAAGCATGAATGATAAGGTAAGCAATAAGCAAGATAACGAAGCAGTTAAAACATGTAACAAACATGAAGCCACAGCACTTGCAAGTAAATGTTGCTGTTGCCATTTAAAAAAAGAAAGAATAGTCATCGGAAAATGTAGGCAAAACCACGGAGTTCAGCAGAAAGTACATGCATTGTGATGTCTTTACACAGAGTGCCACCTACCATAGTTAGGTGAGTTTGAACTTATTGCATTGCCTTAGCGCAATCTGAGCGCTATTATCAAGCTAAAATGCTGCAGTGAATTCTACATTAACCGTTTCACGTGTGCATAACTTACGATCTAAACTAGTCAAAGACAGAGAAGAATAAGATTCCTTTAGATATGCCGCAGACCTAAATTTTCAACTTTTAAACACATATAAGCCGTAGCTTATCTACCCAAAATTATGGTACATGTAACTGTATGTTTTTAATACATATATAACATTTATATATTATATGCATTTTTCTATGTGAATGGCTATTTCTTTTTTACGGTATATCCTTGGGCAGATATATTAGTAGCAGTATTGTACCTGATCAAGTAAGCTCACATAATAGTATGTTTACCTGGATAAAATATGATGCCAGTAGGATAAAGATCCACTTTTTGTTATTTTTGCTATGTTATCCTTCCTTCTCATCATCTTTTGGTTTAGTATCTCTGCATTTCCATTCCTCAATCAATGCAGTGATCAGCTGTTTGATATTTTAGCAATCTGGTCTGGATTTTTGACCTTCACTCTAAATTATCCTAAAGCTATTCAGGGAGTTGAGATCCAAATCTTGCCCTGCCAACTGAATTCTTCCACCTCCATTTTTAAAAATTTTAGGGTTGTGGTTTTTTTGCTTCAGGAACTGCAGTACTGGTTTGCTGAAAGTGAAACACAGGATTTCTAAATTGTTGCAGTCTGAGTAGTGTTTGAATTGTCAAAAATTGTTAAACTTTTATGAATTCAGGAAACAAAAAAAAAAAAAAAAAAAAAAAAAAAAAAAAAGCAGAAGGACCATGCCACAAAAAAGCATACTTCCCAAGGCAAATAATTCCAGGTTCTTTGAACTTCACAGTAGGCACAATATACGAGGGTTGGAACTTTAATAGTGGCAACTATTTATTTACAAGGAATACAAAAGTGATTCATGTGTACCATGTTTTACAGTCCTTCAGTATAGTCGCCAGCATTGTGTACAACTCGTTTCCAACGATGTGGAAGTCGCAGAATACCTGTAGCAGGGCCAATTTTGTTGATAGTTTGAATGGACCGGTCTACTGCTGCAAGAATCTCAGGAACAGTTGGAAGCGAGTGCCACGAAGTGGTTCCTTCATCTTAGGAATTAAGTCATAGTCACAAGGGCTTAGATCTGGGGAGTATGGTGGATGGTAAAGCACTTCCCAGCCCCATCGCTTGAACAAATCAGTCACAGCTTGAGCTGCATGCGGCGGAGCGTTGTCATGCAAAATGAGAGGAGCGTTTTGCGGAAAGTGTCGCCGTTTTTTTCTCAAAGCTGGTCGGAGATTGTGCTCCAAAAATGAGTAGTAATACTGCGCAGTGACGGTCTGCTGTGGGGGAACAGTATGCGCTATGATGACACCATCACAGTCGTACATGAGAATCACCATAACTTTCACATTGCTAGGGTTCTGACGAAATTTTAAACGTTGTGGTGACCCGTGATGACGCCATTCGTTTGATTGGCGTTTCAGTTCTGGCTGGTACGATCGGGCCCAAGTCTCATCCAGTGTAATGATATGGCGTAAAAAAGTGTTGGAAAATATAACTTATTGTAAACCTTTTACTGCATCATCTCTCCTCCTTGAAATGTTTATTTAGTTTAGTTCTTATTTTAATGTAATATAGTAGTTACTTCTACTTCTTTTTATTACTGCCACTGTTTGCGTTGAGAACGGACTGTTTCAACCTAATTAAGATGCAAAAACGAAACGTGATGTTACGTGATCTGGAAAGCCGATTCCTGCCGATAGCTGATTGGTTGCCGTGAGATGACATCATTCCTACTTCTGCTATAAGTATTTCGCATCGCTCTGGCTCAACCTTTCTAGTTCCTGCTTTCCTGGCACTTGGGTGTGCGGTTTCCAGCCCCTTTTGAAGGATGTGTGCACTCCGGTGAATAAGTTCCTTGGTTCCTGTCCACAAGATGATTGTTCCAGAATAAATTCCTTGGTTCCAGAGGCTACCATGTGAGTGACTGCCGTGGGCGGCATCCATGTTCTTCAATGAAGGCGGCATTTAGAATACGTGAGTGGCGATTCCTCGTGTCAAACTAATGCAAACGGAGTTAGGCCGGTTTTGAATGCTTTCAAGAACTTGATTTAAATTTCAGGTGTTTTCTCGACCATTGATCATGGATTTTTTAAATGTGTAACCAACTTCATTTTGAGGCCGCTTAATTACTGTTTAGGACATTTTATTTGTATTGAATGCCAGTGTTTTTGGAAACCAGGTAAAAATATTATTTGATGAATGATGGTTATATTATATTTTTCCTAAGAATCTGATATTGTTGAAATTTATTTTCTGTGTTTTTATTCTTTATTATATTGTTAATAAATTGGTTAAGTTCAAAACCTTTTATTGTCTTCAATGTCTGCACAACATAGTATCTCAGGGAGCTTTTATTGCTACTACTGCTAAATGTTTAATTTTATAAACATTAAACTTTG